ACACCACCACTTGAACCAAGTAATCACAGTTAACATCATTAGAAATGAGACAAATTGATATTGTGGGCCTCTGACATGATGCATTGAGAAGACACATCACTTCTGTGGTATTTCTGCCAGAAATACGTAACCTGAACGTAATCACAAGGGAATATCATACAAACCTAAACTGGGGAACATGCTATAAAAAAACTGGCCTGAAGTTATAAAACAGGTGAAGATTACGAAAGCCTGAAATAAAAGAAGATTAAAGAGACATGACAATTGAATACAACTTGTGATCCAGAATATTCTTTTCCTAAAAAAAACCCTCCAAAACATTATTGGCCAATTAGAAAAATTTGGATAGGGTCTGTAGATTATCTAATAGTATTGAATCAATACTAATTCCTTGATTTTTATAAGGGAATTATGAAAGAGAATATCTTTATTTTCAGGAAATACACACTGAAGTATTTAGGGATAAAAGGGCACATATCTGCAACTTACTCCCAAATCTTTCCAAAAAAAAAGATACAGATAGATAGATACGTAGATATAGATAGATAATGATAAGAAACAAATGTGGTAAAATGTTAACATTTGGAGAATCTGGGAGAAGGGTATATGGGAATTCTTTGTACTGTTGTTGTAACTTTTCTGTGAACCTGAAATGATTTAAAAATAAAAATAAAATGATGGTGAAGAGGCAGTGCAGAGCAGCCTGAGTAAAGCAGGAAGCTACGGTGGCTCCAGCCCAGGTGACCAGGAGCAGGAAGAAACAAAGATCCAGAGCGCTGCATGGACTGTTTTTACAAATGAGGCACCGTTTCCTGACAGACAGACAGAGACAGAAGACGTTTTTTTTTTAAATCAGGAACTGTTACCAATATGCAAAATAAATCCTATTCCTTTTGCCAAATAAAATAAAATATGGATTTTCCCTGCCAGGATAAATACTGGTGTCTGGTCATATGAGGATATGTTATCAAGGCCTTGATGTTCACAAATGATGAAAACCTCCTCGTAGTAATGTTTGGATTTTAGAAGCACACGTCAGCTGAGCTGTTGTTCCTCTCTTTCTGGAACATGGCAGATGGAGCCTGAAATGCACAACCAGTGGAATGGAAAGATGTGATTCTTTGAGTTTGTGTCATTTAGTGTAGTCACCCAGACATGTTCCCAGTGGAGTGCCCTTTGTACAGACTTAATACTAGAGCCACAGATGTGCATAAAGCCATTCAGTAAAATTATACTCCTCTCTGCATGAGCTCAAGAGGGGATGTTCAAATTATATTTGAAAACAAAAGGGCACCTACCCCGGCTAATATGAATCTTGCTGTGACTAAATGCAATTATCTCATTTAACCCTTGCGCTATTCACACCCAGTATTTTAGAAAAGACAAAACTGAGGTTCAAAGAAGTTAAGCATTTTCCCCAAGATCATACAACTAGTTGATAGCAGAGCCTAGATTTGAAACTAGGTCTTTCTGGCCTCAGCTCAGACTTTCTGCTCTTTCTAATAGTTCGCCTCGTTTCCCCTTTCTTACTTCCTGATAGGAAGAAGCATCTGCCTTGGCAGACGCTGACCTCGCACTCAGCTACAGAGATAGGCCCTATAACTCTAAGGCTAACACTCTTCCCCTTGAAGGAAGTGGTTCATCACTGGGATTACAACCCAATTTGGGTCGATAAAACATATAGAGAATTTTGCTGGGAACTTCTGGGGAAGTTCTTCCTCAATATCATGGGAGTGCTCATAGAAGCAAGGCTTTCTCTCCAGCCTGGACTCTAAGGAGAAATCGTGGGGTAGTCCAGTTGTTTCTGGCAAACATCCTAGGACCACAAGTGAGACCTGCCTCAGGATGGAACAATGCTGTGGATGGCAGACTAGAGATAGGGAACAAGATATGGATCAGGACATGGCTTCTTGATCACTACTTCCACCCACATGTGTTCTGGACCCTCTCTTGCTTTTCCAAAGACTCTGCTCCTATAGCCATTGCCGATTTTCTTTCTCTTCACTGTCAATATCTCCCTCTCTTCTGAATATTCCAAACATATGTTGGATTCTTTCATATTAAAACAAATTTTCTTTGACTCTGTATTGTCTTCCAACTACAGCCTTTTTCTCTCCTTTCTTTCAAAACTTTCTGCCTGTACTTTCGCACCTTCCATTCACATTTTAACCCATTCTAGTCTGGCTCCTGTTGTCACTACGTACTCTCATAGAACCACTCTTCTCAAGGTCACTGCTGACCTCCAGCTTGCCAATGCCAGTGGGCATTTCTCTGTTCTCATTTTTCTTGACTTCCCTGCAGGATTTAAGTGGGTCAAACATCCCCTCCTTCTCGGAATACTTTCCTATCTTGGCTGCCATGACTGCACACTCCCCTGGTCTTTCCCCTACCTCACTGGCTGCCGCTTCTCTTTCCGCGATACTGACTTCTCCTCCTCTATGGAATTTCTAAATGTTGGTTTGTCTCAAGGCTTAGTCCTAGGTCCTCTACTCTTGTCCATTTATTCCACCTCTTCCTCTATTCATTCAACACTCAATTCAGGCAATGTTCATGCAACACTCAGTCGGTATTTATTGAGTGTCTACCATATGCCAGACTCTGTTCTAGGCACTGGAAATAGAGCAATGAATAAAAAAAGTTCCTGCCTTTATAAAGCTACATTCTAGTGGAAGAGAAAATCAACAAAAAACACTGACAAAATAAGTGACTAATATAATGTTAGGTAGTGATAAGTGCTATGAAAAAAAATAAAGCAGTAATAGTGACAATGATGCTTTTCTTTAGATAGGGTGTCCAGGGGAGGATGCTCTAAAGAGGTGATATTCACATTTGAGAAAAGTGGAGCGTGAGAGAAGTTGAGGATGATTCCAGGTATTTGGTTTGTGTGAAAGGAAGAATGACGGTGCCATTTATGGAAGTAAGGAAGAGTAGGGGAGGAGAAGGTTTGGGAGGGAAAAATCAAGAATTCTGGTTTGGATGTATTAAGGGGTTATATGGTCACATTAAGTGGTTATTTGGATAGATTAAGTTCCTCTTGTGGATAATTCCCTCCTCAGGTCTTAGGAAGACCTTTCCTGACCACGCTATCTCTGACAGCATCCCACCTACCTCTTCCCCAACCCAGAGAGTCTCTATCACCCTTCCTGGTTCATTGTCTTCACAATAGTCACCATACTCTGTAAGAACAAGACTTGGCCACTGTTTGGCTAACCCTGCTGAAACGAAGTCCTGGGAGAACAGGAGCGTCCCTGTCTTACTCATAACCGGGCTTGGGACTGTGCCTATCACAGAGTAAGGGCTGGACAAATAACTGTTGAATGAGAGAACAAAGGGTAGGTTAGTCTTCTGGAGAAGTCAGGACAACTTGGTTCTTGTCTGAGCTCAGCCAGTCACTAGAATCCGGCTTTGGGCAAGTCAATTTCAGAAGTCGTTTGATTAGATGATTTCTAAGGGCTAATTTGTCCACTTTGAAATGATGTTTAAAATCCAGGATTTTTATTTATTTCTTCTGACCGAATTTGTACCCAGAACCTCATTTCAGTACTAACAATGCTGAAGGGCTTTTTGATGAAGAATGAGTGCAAACTATTGCTTATGGGGAAATTTACCACAGGGATCCTGAAGGGTACTATATTCCCACTCCTGGCCCCCCTAAATCCTCAGTCTCATGTAGCCATCCCTTCTGCTAGGCTCCACTCCAGGATCAGGAAGAAACAATTGGAAACAAAGGAGGAGAAGTGAAGGAGTTCATTTTCTGGAACATTACTGAGTACCTATTCACCAGCACAGTTCAAGCCTTTTCAGATATGCTATCATATTTCACATGTAGCTAAGGGTTATCTGGATATTAAGGCCCATCTTCACAAAACCCTGTGAGGTAGGTATTAATGCCCCCATTTCACTGATATAGGAAATGAGGTTCAGGGAGATGAATTGATTTTTCCCTAGTTCAGACATAGGTGAGTGGCAGAAAAAAGATTGGAGTCTATATCCTCAACCCCCACCCACCCATTGTGCTTTCCACCACACCACAGATGCCTATAGTCAAGGGCAAACTCTCTTGCATATCATCAGTTTCCAGTGGACTCAGGTCTATTTGTTGAATTAACAAATGAAAATAAATTGGATTAAGAAACACTCTCTTAGAACCCAGTGTTAAAAATGACAGTTTACGCTTCAACTCATCCGGGAAATCCAATTGAAAGGCCATTAAATTACTATGTAACTTAGATACATAGCTAGGTGGAAATAACGCCGCAAAAAAATATCAACTTGTTCACAGAGGCAGGAAAGAGTTCTCTGCTGAAATAGTAAGATTTCCCAGGGCTCCTTCTGGAGAGAGAAGGAAGGAAGAAAGAAGAGGAGGATGCAGGGAATACCTATTCCCTACATGACCATCCATTGGAAAATCTTTCACTTCGTTTTCCTTTTCCTCAGCAATTTTTGAAGACTTCACTTTCAAAAAGAATCACTTTCTTAATGGAAAGGGAATTCTTTTCCCACCAACGTATCCTTATTACAGAAGGTCTCTCACTCAGATGCGTGTGTGGGCACGACTGAGGATATCAACCTATGCCACATTAAATATGTAACGCTGTATATATGAATCTTAGCGATGGGCATGATTCTGAAGTTGGGCATGATTCTGAAGGAATAACCTTTTTAAAAAACCCATAAACCCTTTAGCGTTGATCTCAAGCGGGCAGGAAAAACAACGCAGATGGTGTGTAGTTCCTTTCTCTCTCTTCCATCATAAGCCAACGCTTTTGCCTTTGAATGTAAAAACGGTCTGGAAAAGGGAATTAGATGCTATGAATAGTAGAGTGAGTCATTCTTTTTCCCTTCCCTACCAATAAATGATGACAAAAACAAACATCTAAGAACTATAATGTCAATAAAGCAAGATCATGAATAGAAAAATGAATAAATAGTATTTATTTTGTACAAAGCGGCTGTCCGTGTCCGAGAGTCCCCAGCAGGCGCCTAGAAGGCGCCCCGATGGGAGGGCCTGGGGCTGCGCGCCCTCAGAGCAGCAGCAGGGGGCCCAGCAGCAGCTCGCCCTGGCCCAGCAGGCGGCCCCGCTCCAGGCCGCGGCCCTTGTTCTCGGCCTTGACGCGCACGGCCAGGCGGCGCAGCTCGTCCTCCGAGAGCCCGTCGAGGCAGAAGTCCTGGTCGAAGGCGGCCTTGCGGCTCCGCCGGACCACGGCGCTGCGCTGCTGGCGCGTCTTGCCCGGCGGCTGCAGGACGAAGCTGACGCGGCAGCCGACGGCGCGGGGCTCGGCGGCTCCTCCGGCCAGGCCCTCGGCGCGGAGCAGCCGGACGCGGAGGCG